ACAATACATAGAGGTTAAATCATGAGAATAGCTTTTTATGTTTAATTAAAATAACTATATAATGATGGTTTGATTTGTAGCTTAAAATTAAGCCTTGGTTAGCTCAAAGTTCACTCTGCCTTCCATGTTTCTGAGGTGGGTAAAATGAGGACCCAAAATTGTTGGGGGCAATATGCTGATTGTGTAAACCGCTTGGAGAGGGCTGTAAATCACTGTGAAACAATATAGAAGTCTAAGTGCTATTGCTATTTCATGGCTGGGGTTAATAAAATTGGAAGGCTTTTAATCTTTTTAAAGCTAAATCATTTTTCTACATTATAAGCAAACTAGCAAAATCTTCCTTTTGCAGTCATGTGCTTATTCATATTAGTACTTTCTTAGCTTTTTAATCTGAGAATGACTTTTTCCCCGTCTCCTACCAGATCTCCCGATGCCCATCACCACTATATGTTTTGGCCTGTCTCTATACCCCCAATGGCAGCCGCATTTCCAAAAACTAGGCCCCTCAGTCCTTACGAACGGAAGCTTCAATTATCCTCAACAGCTATTCAGGCATTCTGAGGCACTTTAGCTTCACTAGATTGTTGTTAATGAATGGGTATAATGTGCTGATTAAAATGTTAAGACTGTATATCTCATTGAAAAGGAAAGGAAGACTAGTTTCACAATTCTAGAAGCATTTTAGGCATTGTACACAATTTTTTTATTTGATGGCACCTATATGAGGCATTCCAAATCTGCTTCCATGTGATAGCTGTGTCAAATGTCCCAGTTAATGTGGTTTGTGCAATTTTCTGAAGTAGAACTTCAGGCTTTAAGATAGGGAAAATATTTCTATTGATATGCATCATCTCCTCTTCTTTTTCAAGCCTCTGAGGAATTCAATACACAAGTCTCGGACACCTTTATACAATTCTTTGTGAAGATGATTGGTCACTATCCAGCACATATCAAATGGAGCAGAAATGGCACAGGCAGTTTCCAAGAACAATCATTTTGCAAGGCTATCACCTCAAAGACCAACCGCAGATTTGTGAAAAAATTTGTTAAGACTCAAATGTTTTCATTATTTATTCAAGAAGCAGAAAAAAGCAAGAAGTGCATAGAAGGTAAATCCCTAATGGCCATGTATTATTATTTTTGCCTTGACAGTACATTCCAACCACAAAGAGATGATTCCTCAGCTAGCAGAAACTCAATAGACTAAGGATAGGTGAGCAAAGCTAAATATGCCAAGTGTGGGATGAGGTAGTCCCTTCCAACCCTTTTTTCCCTATGTTCTATATATTTATTCTTATCTTATTGTTCTTACTACAGACATTCACATGGCCAGGCAGTCTACATTAGCCATTGCTTCCTAGTGGTTATAAAAGTCATATTTTTTTAATCAAATAAATATTGACCCATGGAATATTTTCTTAGTCATGTGTAGAGATCATTGTAAGCGATGTTTACATGTTCCAGACATAATAACTAATGCACCTTTTCTTTTAACTGCAGGATATTTTCAGCAGAAATTAAATGAATATCAAGAAGAAAAGAAGCACAGGAGACTCTCCTGAATCTTTCCTTCATAAGAGAAGATTGGTCCTTTGGAGATAGGCAGGTCTGGAACTGATCATCTACCTGGATTAGGTCCATAGGTGAAAGATACCATTGGTATTATTAGCTGCCCTGGTAGTACCTGTGCTTTGTACGTAAACCATGAAAAGTCACGGGAAGCCTTGGATACTGTTTTCTATATTTTCCTTTTTCTTGTGGCTGGCATTACATGCTGCTGGTTACTTGCCTGAAATTTTGTAGTCCAGCTGACAGTCAAAGCTGCAGTTCCACAGAATGAATGGCAATATAAAAACTGTATTATGGAACACTTCTAATAGGGTGTTGATAATAGGGTTCTAATTTTTTAAAAAATTTTTTGTCAGATACAGTAAACAATGCCTAAGAGAGAGAATGCACTAGAAATAATGAGACAATTACATTCATTGGAAACATTTTTATTCTCATTAAACTGGTTTCCAGGCCAAAGATCTTATGTTGAATGTTTGTACTTGATGCGATTATAAAATGGATGTTAAATTTTTATATGAATTCTATACTTTATGTTTTAAGCAGCAATGCTTGTCCCACTATCACATGAAATTTCTCCTACTAAACAATTTAAAGGAGGGAAATAGAACCACAATATTAGATTAAAGAATGACTTGAAGAGCATAAGAATAAACAAACAGAAAAGCAAACAGATTCCCAGTTGATTTTGTAAAGGAGGTTGTCCACCCAATTTTACCCATTCCACCACTATAAAATATAATCAATGAATTGGGAGACACACATTCTTGCACTGAATGTTGGGGATCCAGGAGAATAAGCAAACCCGAGGATGCTATCTTTGAGGGACTGTTGCTGTTCCCTAGCATCATAAGAGGCATTGTAGTGTCACAGTTAGAACAAGTAACTGTCAGACATATTTGTTCCTATTTGAATGAATGAAATTCTTAGGGGCCTAAATCTTGGTGAATTTCCAGTGCTAATTTGGAAAATATTAATCAAAGCTATCATTTAGCTAGGAAAAAAATCAACGTTTTCCTACATCCAGTGTTCATTTCCAGGATGGTTGACCATACATCATCCTCCAGATTTTTAGTCACTTCAACGATCTGATGGTTAGCTACATTAGTTACAGATGGTAAGAACTGAAATCTAATACAGTTGAATAGTACTAGGTTGCTTAGTTTACCTTTTAAGTTCTTCTTGATATGTTACAAATACTATTATAGACACTGAGTAGTTGGTTCCAATATAATATAAATCTGATATGTAATAGTTATCTCAGGAGCTGTAGATTTTGCATACCTTTTCTAAAGATAGAAAGGTTGTCTTTGTTCTCCCTGAAATATTCTCTCACTATGCTGAAATAGAGAATGCAAGTGAGGATTAGCTTGGAGAAGACTGGATCAACCAAATCTGCTATCTTCCAATTCCCCCAACATGCTTTGCCTCAAGAATAAGTAGTACCATATCTTTACAACAGGTGGAAAATATTTTAAAAAGCAGTGGGAAGGGGCAATAGATGTCCCTCTTGCATAAGTTCAGCAGAGTTTAGGATTTGAAAATGTGAGGCTTGGTTTGGTTTGTCACATTGTTTTGTTGTATACCAGTTATTGCTATCTTCAGTTCAACAAATGTATGTATAAAGTTGAACATCATGCCAAATATAACTACTTTTTCAGAAGTTTTTAATAAATTAATGAGAATGTGCAAGTCAAGTCTGCGACAGGACAAGCTATCAAGCTTCTATAGTTACAGGAAAATTCACTCAATATGCTATTGCAATGTCTTTATAAAGTGTTCAGGTTCTTCAGCTAATGAACTATAGTGCATGAAATATAGTGCTCTATTCACAATTATATCCAAATTCTTTTATAGACAGGAGAAAAACTGCCATCTGCAACAAGACAATTTAATGTACAACTCGGGGGCTGCTGGTGGTGGTGATGGTTCCCTCCACCCAAATATTTTTTAAAATAAAAAAACAAGAAAAAAAGAAAACATAATTATCTAATTATATCTCTACCTACCTACAAGCATGCCATTAAATTGACTGCACAGAACAGTATAAGCAGTCTTTCCACTACATTGACAGAGGACGAATTACTAGCAATAGCAATAGCACTTAGACTTCTATACCACTTCACAATGATTTACAGCCCTCTGAGTGGTTTACAGAGTCAGCCTATTGTCCCCAACAATCTGGGTCCTCATTTTACCGACCTCAGAAGGATGGAAGGCTGAGTCAACCTTGAGCCGGTGAGACCTGAACTGCCAAACTGCTGCAGCCGATGATCAGCAGAAGTAGCCTGCACTACTGCATTGCACCACTGCAGCTCTTGCATGAGTTCTAAATAGAAAGGTATGTTATATTGGCAGTCCTGGATTTTAAATCCCACCAACTTTGCAATATAGTATTGAAGAGTAACTTTTTGGCTGACTGTCCTTCCACATGCTTATTAAAACCATAAATCCAAAGTTCCTGTATATAATTCAGAGTCACACGCACATCTTTAAATACTGTGATCTTTGTAATGTTATTGGTTCACTTAAGGATATTAAATGAAAAGAAGGCAGTAGTGAACATCTTATCATATAAATAAACTTATCCTCAGGCCAACTGTTTAACCCCTTCTCTTCATTGTACACTAAACATGAAATGTTTGCTGAATTAGTCTGATCCTAAGATGAGAAATACACAATATTTTTTGGCCCTTAGCCATTGCTTTGTAAGATGGGATACTCCAGTTCTTTGTTAAGACTTTTTTATAAAAAATATCTTCTGTCCAGCTTTATTATACAGTACTCTTTTAATTGTTAAAGAATATTATTGACTTATAATTATTTGAAACACATCCCAGTACTGACAATAACTTATGAATTAGGTGTTGCTAATGTCTCATGTTAAACTGTCAAAATTCCAAGAAGGTTTAATTGAATACACAATAAAATCTCAATACAAAATGTTCCCAAGATGCCAATGAAGATTCTCCTTCTCTTGGGATTTGGTGTTCATTTTGAACTCTTTCTTCTTACTAAAACAATTGTTCTCTTTTGAAGATAGCAGACAGCAGAAGGGCAGGAAGTAACCCAAGATCAAATACCTATGAATATGTAGGACAGTGAATCATCTGTTATTTATGAATATATATGCTTGCATCATTGTTCCCCTTTCCTGAAATGTACAATTATCAGTGCATCTCTTTTGCTTGCAGCGTGACTTTTCTTTTGGTGGGGTCCCATAGTGTATGTACTATTTATGTAAGAAATACTGCAATGAGCCTTATTTTGAGTCTGGGGTTTTGATTCCATAATGCTAATATAGTTCAACTGCACAAATATACTTTAACCGTTCAAATTAATAGTTTGCTCATTGATCAAAACATAAGAGCACAAGGATTATTATAGTTATGAGAATTTTCATTTATTAAACAGAAATATTTTTGCATAAATTTTATACAAAAAGTAACTGCAAATTTTGTATAGACTTTCCACTGGAAAAAAAAAACTGAAAATTTATTTTAAAGTGTTTATTTTAAAAAATAAATTGACAGATAACACACTATACTGCATGCTGACAATCATCCCACATCTTAGGGGACTTAGGGTTAGATTTTTAAAGACAAAAGATGTAATTTATCAAGCACAGTGGCTGTGTACAATGTGCAATGACAAAATGATCAGCCACAGTGGATTGCTTCCAAAGATAGCATTTCAAGATGCCAGCTTCGAGAGACAATGCAAATAACATGAAGTACCTGTTTTCTTAAAAACTAACCACAGTTATCAGCAACTGGTGATGAATCTAGGCTCAAGTCCAAAATATTCCAGCTACCAAAGGTAGTGAGATGCCAGAGTCTCTCAAGGCAATTAATAATTATACTTTTGGGACAATATTAAATGAGCACTTTAAAGGATAATTAAAAGCAAATAACCTTATAGCTTGTAAATACACTATTAGAAATTCCTGTTGTTAGGAATCCATTTATCTGAGAGCCTGGTTTATTGTCAAGGTAATTACAATGACAAAGCCTTATTCTCTGCATGCTTCTCTAGGTATACAACCATGGACCTGATAATATAGACGTTTGGAGAATACTTGGGTTTCTCCTTTTGTTGGTGGACTGTCTAACTAGGAAGTGTCATCCATAACAAAATTAGTTATACAACATTATTATAAATTAGATTTGTTCCTATCTGCTCCAGTTTCTGTAGACTCCTTAATATAACCACATTCTCTCTTGTAGAAAACAGCTACTAGTTATTGCAACAACCTAGTGATGATTTGAATACGTACTGTAGGTCTTGATCTTAAAGACACTGATGTGAAGATGGGAAGCAATTTGATTGCAGACACTGACACAATATCGGAGTAAATCAAAAAGAGAAAAAATCTGAAAGGATAATATAAACACATATGAGATTTGGACAAAAAAACCTTTGACACAGTTTATTCCTTGTGTTTTCAACCCATGATTTTAAATATGAGGATAATCTTTTCAATAAGATTTTATCTTGTTGAGATTGGAGAAATACTTTTTTCTGCTTTTTAAAGTAGAAGTGGGAACTGGGAAAGATCCACTCCCCTAGCAGCCTAAGCTAGAGGGCAGGGCAGGGCAGGCATGTTCCTAAACGATGTACTCCCAGGTCGTCATTTCATGCAAATGGAAATAAAGCCTAACTAGGGAGGTAATGAACCAGTTTAGTTTGCCCTTTTGCAACTGGAATGCTTGCGAGATGTCTCTGCCCAATCTCACCTGCCTTATATTTTCTCAAAAGGAGAAAGTCCCCAACATTCTTGTTCCAATGCAGCTGTGGAGATCTTAGGCCCTATGACTTCTTCTATTGGAGGTATGGGATTCTTTAATATTCTAGGCTAGAGAATTTCCATCATCAATACAAAAACATTAACTTTTTCTTAAACATGGGCACAGGAGTGCAAACCTATTTTGAAACTCCTTATCATTCAAATGAATATATCTTTCACGATTTGGTTATAACATGGACAAAATATGTCAACAATTGTCCTGAGCACTTTGGAGAAAGGATAGGTTAACTATGCAGTAAATGAAATGTGTGACATGAAAACTCCAATGGTATCAGTGATTGAAATATCAGAGTAATTATCAACACTTTAATATCAACATAATCTTAAAGAATAAAAATAAAGAATTTGAAAAATCACTAAAAACCAAAGCCCACAGTAAAGAGTGCATTTTAAAAGCGTAACTGAAAACATGGCTAAAATGAATTATATTTCCTTAAAATGCCAATATTTTATTGAGAATATGAAGGTAACTTTAAAATGTCATCTCTCTTTAGAAACACTGGCTTTTAAAAAGATGAAAAATATGGATTATTTTTCCAATGCACATAGCCAAAGGAAAAGATTGATACCTGGTCTAGGATACTTAGCTGTGATTTCTCAGTATAACTTTTTCAGACTACTAGTTCAGCAGAATACAAATAATGTGTTTCTATTGTAAAAATTCTCTTTTTTCCAACTACAGATGATACTACTTTATTGTGCAATTTAAAACACCAAACCACTTGTCGTATTCCACTGTGGGTATTCTGTCTAGGCATGCTCCAGAGATATTGAAAATTATACTGGTTTGTTTCTGGGTGCACTTCAAAGTTCTGGATGCTTCCTGAAAGCTTTACATGACAAAAGGTTCTGGTATTAGATGGTTTGGCTGTCTCCCTAATATCTGGTGTACTCTGGGTTCCTTCAATTAAACAATGTCATCTCTCAGTACCACAGAAGCATCCTTTCTGTATAGTACTGCCTGCCCTTAGGAACACAGTTGCCCTTAAGATCCAGATGGCTCCCACTTTGCTGTTGTTTAGAAGAATCATGAAGACCTGTTTTTTCACTTTACTTTTTTGTGCTTGCCATCCTTTTTTTAAAAATCTATTACTGATTTTATTATACTTTTTTTGTTGCTGTTGTGAGCTGTCCAGAGTTGTTGAGAATGGGTGGCATATAAATGTATAAATAATATAGTAATAATTATGAATCAAGTGTTGTCAATAGAAAATTGACATGTATCTTAAAAAATCACTTGCCACTTACCAAGGCAATCCAAAGTACAATGTATTCGTCAATAAAGCTATTAAAATATTGATCCAAGAACAAAAGTGCTGGACCTATGAATGCTGTGTCGTGGAGGTGCATCTCGCTTTTGGTCATATGAGCAACCTACAGAGAAAAACAAGCATTTGTTATTTATAATCAGAATTAATGTCAATGGAGGAAGGAACTACATTTGATAACTGTTTCTCTTCAAGGAGTGGATTATGGCCAGTCATAGCCATAATCACTTCAACCTTATTGAAGTGCCATCATGTACACTAATAATTCTGGACAGGGACAAAAAAAGAATAAACCTGTAATAGGGAACTATTTCATATAAAATTAGTTAATAGCACAAGGAAATACTTACCACTAGTTTGTTAGTTATCTTAGCAGAAACAAACCCAAAAGTCAGTATATAGAGGCAAGGATGTTTTTCAAAAAGTTCCACAGCAGATTTTTTGTAGATCATGGCAGCTAATGTTATGACAGTTCCAATGTGAAGAAATGGTGAAAGGACACTTGTCCCCTATTTAGGAAAGATTTAGTATTAATTTACAATGCTGGGCATATAACATAAATGTAATTGTCAGTATTCCAGAACACACTTTGGTCATAAACAAACAAACATATGCATACATAGTTTTAATTATAACTAAATCTTTTTCAAAGTCTAAGGCAAACTAATAACTATATTACCTAAAATATTTAGTTAAGAAGCAAGGGATGAATAAGCATACATGTATCTAATTTATCTAATTCTGCAATTTAAAGTCAAAGTTGCTCAGTTTCAAAAAGATAAAATAAAAAAAACAAACTGAACAGAATAACACTGAACAAAAAAAGAAATAATCAACCCCAGTGAAATGATCGAATAATGTGCAGCTAAGATGTTGTGATGGCTGGGAGAGAAGCTACTAATCAAAGCATGGCAGTGCAAGGCACTTTCTTTAGTTTATGACCTAAAGGAAGAAGGGTCCTGAGGAGAATGCAGTTTGGGAATTGTAAATGGAAGGTCATGTTTGAGGCGGCTCAAACAACCTAGGAAAATTTCCATCCACCCAGAGGCAAAATTATGAATATATTTAGAATCAGGGATGGCAATATTTGGTAAATATGTTCCAATATGAAGTGAACTTGTTCATCACCAATTTTAAATTATTTAAATAATAAAAAGTTACCATATCATATTTTCTTCATATCCCATCTAGATACAATATCTTGAAAATATAAACAAAGGTGAAAAAGAAAATTTAAGAACAAAAAAGGGTGGCAATAGGACAAACAGATTCTTTGAGGACCTTCCAAGAGTTAGTAACATTTGATTTTGAAGAGAAGGATAATAGAAATACTATTTTTAATTACATTTTTGGACTTTAAGGGGCTATAAACTAAATTGGACAATTGTGTTCAGCTTTTGTGTAAGTATGGCGTGGGAGATGGAGGATTAAAGCAAAAAATCAATGTTTTAAATTGTTCAGAAGTTTGAGGAGGAAAAAAACCTATTCAAACAAATTGGTGATTTAGTTGCTGGATTTCAACAAGTGCCATCAGTAGACACCCTGGAGATTGCAAAGCTGATTCTGGGAGGCATTGATAAAACTCATAGCATATCACCTGCCTATGCTTTATATACAGAAGGGTGGGTAAGCTATACATTTCCTGTAATTCCCAATATACAGTGGTGTTTAAAGTTTGTGAGGACTTGAATTTTTAATGTTTTGGCATAAAAATGGCCTAAAACGGGTCCTCAAACTATGACCCACGGGCCAAATCTGGCCCGCTGAAGCCATTAATCAGGCCTGCGCGGGACCACAAGACTGCTCTGCCCATATCACCTGCCTACCGTTGACCCCCACCCACCTTCTGGAAGTCAAAAACGGGGTGCGTGAAGGCCCTGGGAGGCCAAAAATAGGCCTGCTTTGGGGCAGCAGAATGCTACTGGAGGTCAGGGAGGCCAAAAATGGGGTGCAAAGAGGCCCTGGGAGACCAAAAATGGGCTCATTTTGGGGTGGCAGAGTGGTACTGGAGGCTGGGGAGGCCAAAAACAGGATGCATTGAGGCCTCAGGAGGCAAAAAATGGGCCCATTTTTTGCCTCCCCAGCAGAGAGACAGAGAGAAAGAGAAACAAGTCCCTCACCACCCCCACGGCAGCCACATACCTTCACTAACCTGGTTTCCACCCTCAGGAGCATAAGTTTAATTTGTGTGTATTGTTTGGACTGCTAAATTGGCCATGCCCACCCAGTCACATGATTCCCCTAGCCACGCCCACCCACCAGTCGGCCCCCACAACAGTCTGAGGGACCATGAATTGGCCCACTGTTTAAAAAGTTTGAGGACCCTGGCCTAAAACATGGTTTTCCATCCATTCTAATCCTAAAACATAGACAAAGAGTACACAAGTGAACAAATCAGCTAAAACGGTATACTTTTTCACTTATTTATTGATGAAAATGATTCAAAGCTACATATTTGTGTATGGTAAAACTATGTAAACTTTTGCTTTAAGTAACTGATGGGCCCTCCTTGGGCAACAATGATTGCAACTAAACATTTCCAATAACTTTTGATCAGTCCTGAACATCAGCTTGGAAGTATTTTAGCCCACACGTCTACACAGAACAATGTCAACTCAGGCTGGTGGGCTTCCTGCCAAAACATTGATTCCCTTTTGCTTGAACCATTCTTTGATTGTACAATTTCTATGTTTTGGATTATTATTAGCTGCAGTGGCGCAGTGGTTAGAATGCAGTACTGCAGGCTATTTTTGCTGACTGCCAGCTGCCTGCAATTTGGCAGTTTGACTTTCAGGTTTCAAGGTTGATTCACCCTTCCATCCTTATGAGGTTGGTAAAATGAGGTCCCAGAATGTTGGGGGCAATATGCTGACTCTGTAAATCACTTAGAGAGGGCTGTAAAGCACTGTGAAGTGGTATATAACTCTAAGTACTATTGCTATCCTGTTGCATGAGCAACTTTCTCTTGGTCTTGAACTCCCAATTAAACAAATGAGCATTTCCTTGGTCGTGCTAGCACAATTCATAATTCCATAAATAATGGCGGCCATCCTGATTCAGAGGCAGCAAAACAGGGCTGAGTCATGATACGACTACCACCATCTTTCACAGATAGGATTAGGTTTTATGCTGGAATAAAAGCCTTTCCTTTTTGCCAAACATAATGCTTTTCATTCAAGCCAAAAACTTCTATTTTGGTTTCATCTGTACACAGAACATTGTTCTAATAGCCTTCTAACTTATCAATGTCGCCTTTCACAAATTTTAGATGGGCAGCAACATTCTTTATAGAGACCAGTGGCTTTGTTCTTACAATCCTGCTATGTATACCATTGTTTAGTATTCTCATGTTCACCAATGCAAGGGAGGGCTTTAGTTCCTTAGATGTCACTCTGTGTTTCTTTGAGGCCTCCCAGGCTATTATACACTTTGCTCTTGGTGTGATCTTGGTTCTTTGTCCAGTCTTAAGAAGAGTAATGAAGTGTGAATTACCTCTATTTCTATCCAATCTACCTGACAATGGACAGCTGAATCCAAATCCTTTGGGAATAATTTTGTTGCTTTTTTCAGCTTGGTTAGCATTAACATTGTTTTTTTAGAGATCTCCAGAAATCTCCTTTGTTTGAGCCATAACATAATTACACATGTTGTGAAGATCAGACTTTGATACTGTGAAGTAGGGGTGTCAAACTCAATTTCATTGAAGGCCGCATCAGGATTGTATTTTACCTCGGAGGGCCAGAGTGGGCGTGGTCAGCTCGACATCACTCGTGTCAGGGGTGCCTGTGGTGGCCCAAGCACACTGCCAGAGAAAACAGGCTCCTGAGCTCTGTTTTCGGCTGCAATGCCCTCCTGTAAGTAACCCTCTGCCAATGAAAACAGAGCTCAAGAGGGCTGTGTGCAGCTCACCCGAGTTCTGTTTTTGCTGGCAGAAGCACCGCAGGCCAGTCTTTTGCTGTTTCCGGGGTGGCCCTGCAGGCCAGATCTAATCACCCCACAGGCTGGATCTGGCCCCCGGGCCTTGAGTTTGACACCCCTGTGTTAAAGAATTATTTTCTTTAAATAAGGCAGAACTTCCTACACTCCCATCTAATTATCACCCCAATGACTGAAATGCCTGACTCTCATTTCTTCTTCTGATGAACTGATAATCTTAGAGGTTTATACATTTTGTCAAACATAAACATATATACTTCAATTATCTTCCTAATTAAATAAATGAACATGTGCATTTTCGACTCATTTGTTTAATTGGGCGATCTAGTTTTAGGATTTGTGTGGCAAACAGATCACATTTTAGGTCATACATGCAGAAATACTGAACATTTAAAAGAGTTCACAAACTTTTAAGCACCACTGTATATATTAAACATTCATGTAAATTAATACATCTGCTCCAAATACAACTGGTTTTAGTTCATTTTTAGAAGACCCTCAATGATGCTCTAGTAACCTAAGAAGTATGGACAAAAAACTATTGTTTTCTTTAATCTTGATTGGAATGTGTTTTATCTTATGAAAATGTATAAAGTCAATCTATTATAAGACAGTTTGAAATTTGTAATAGAAAATGCATCACCTCCAGAACCAGATGTAAAAAGGTATCTTTTCTTAGTCACTATATTATACTGGAATTTTTATTCTTTCCTTTTGCTAATATTGTAGTGGAGGATCTTATTAGTCTTCAAATTTTTAAAATAAGACTATTTTATTTAAAATCACATAGAATCAGATTGACCAAAGTAATTTTTTTCAGATCTTGCCAATCTGAGAATGCCATCTGATAAGAACTTGAAACTAGGAATTAGGAAATTGATATATTTTTTTATTACAAACTCTATGCCTGACCATAGAGATCTAGTCTACCTCTTGTTCTGAGTTTGGTTTCTCATCTAGTGCAGGAGAAGGACATGCTTTGAATGTTGGGGTGCACTGGAAAATACAGAACTTTGAATTTTTAAAAACTCTGTTGAGAATGTATTATGTTAATGTTAATTTTTACTGAGGTTTTTTTTTGATAACCCCTATGAGGCTTTGGAAAAGGAAAGAAGAAAAGAAGGATTATACAGAAGAGAAGATAAAAAGAATAATGTATACTAAAAATAAAAACAAAACAGAAAAACACTTACTGCTATGGTTGATCCATTTTTGCCAACTCCACCTGTGAAGATCACACCAAAGTAGTTTGTACAAGAGAATATGGTTCCTGCTACTGTACAAATAGCTGGAAGTATTTTCATGTGAATGTTTAACACTGGAATCTTAACAAGAAAGGAAAATATTAAAACAGTTTAAATATTTCATGTTAATTTTTTTTAGATTTCAAATGAACTCAAAACATTCTACTTTTCTAAATCTGTATCCAGAAATTTTCTAGAACAGGGCTTTAAAAAACATTGGAATATATTACCTTTCAGAAAAAAATATTTATAATGATGGAAATGATAGACCTATATGTGACCATTTATTTTCTAAGAAAAAGTAAATAACTGAATAGAAGGACTATACATTTGAATGCCTATTTTGGCATAATTAGGAACCAAGATTTCATTAAGTTATAATAGTTATTGTATTTGAAGTAAAAAGTGGCATAATGAAAATAATTGACTGCATGTGTTCAGGGAAGAAAGCTGATTGAAAATAATAGAAAAATGAGGAAAGACCTTTGGATGTACTACAAAATCCTATGTTACAAAAAGACATAAAAAAACCAAAGAGCTTCATGGGAATGCAATAATGGATCATTCTGCAGTACTCTGGACAAAACCAAGCAGATGGCATTGATATGGAATGATAGTGCTCATGGTTCCATGTATAACATCTGATAGTCAGAACTACAGGACTTGTAAAGAATGATTAATGGATTATAATGATTGCTTCACCTACAATCCTTTATCCAATTATTGTTAATTTCATAAGAATATAGAATATTGCTCTATACCACAATAGAGTAACATTGGCAATGGCTCTGTGGAATTTTAGATAAGTCTGAAGATAACTAAACTTCTGCACAGAAAACAGGCATTTAGTCTTTATAGACTAAATGGTGTCATGTGAAGAAATGTTTTCATTTCTCAATTGTAAACATAATTTTCAAATAATCAGACTACAGGTGATGCTCTGCTGTACATATTCTACATGACTATTTTTTCTTACATTGTCATTCTATAATGCCTACTCAGAAATAAATATCATAGTGTTTATTAGTGTAAGTATACAGGCAAGTGTATTTACAATTACATTCATCATCTTCAGGCTTCTGTCTCCGGCTCTGTGCTTCTCAGAGTAATGTGAGATTGCAGCTGCTTCCTCCTTTTAACTGCCAGTGGGGGTGGGACTTGATTGGGTGGGGGCTTGGCTGTGTTCTGATTGGGTGGGGGTGTGTTCTCATTGGTAGGGGGTTTGGCTGTGTTCTGTTTTTAGAGACTACAGACATTTCACTATTTGTACAGAATCACACATGTGTTAAGATGAAGGGAGGCTGAAACAATATATTGTAAACCTCTTTCAGAATATTCTAGGACTACACTAGCATGAAATGTAGTAGAGAAGGCTGCTATCCTCATTTTCTCTACCCCATTCAACTTGTTTCTCTTTAACTTTTGGACAGAATACTGCAATAATACCATTAGAACACATTTTGTGAAACAATCGTATAAACATAAAATGATTCAGAAAGAAAAGTAGAATGTCTGAGTATATATACTGATATATACAATATTTCTCTTTATTTAGTACACCTAGCACTATGCCTTTTATACCCAATATAAAAAACAACTTAAGTAGTTAAGGATACCAAATGAAAGAAATATTGTTTAAAATGAGCATTTATGCAAGTTTTAAAGTAATTTGTTAGTTTTATCTGCTTTTACTGTAAAATATTTTATAAGATCCACCAATCATTCATTTTCAATAGACAACTTACAAACATATGACACAAACAATTTTATAGATAAAACAACATGCTCAATCATGTATGGCAGCCAAATTATCATGTTAATTGTTTCTTTACCATTGTTTGAATTGCATTTATAGTATAAGACTTACATTAGTAGATTTATGCATGCCAATTGGAGACTCTTTACAAGCTGTCCCTCTAAATCCATAGCTGAGTGTCGAGACAGGCACGTCTCTCAAAGGCTAGGCAGGGTTACCTTGTGGGTCTTTTCCCCCAAAGACTGGGAAAGAGTCTCACATGTTGCCTCAATATTCAAAACAGCAAGTTTGGAAAGGGGCTATCTAAGGAAGTACATAACGTTCCATGCATAAACTGAACCGAACAGCTGGTTTCGGGTGTTTCATGCTTGAGCCAAACATACATGTTTCTAATAGTTTTTATCTTCATATGGAACAAAATGGGCCTTTTTTGCTTTATAGTTACAAATCAAAATATTGTTTGGGAATGGAGTTAAGAAAAAAACCAAGAATGTTAGCGGTGGCCAAGGAGTCTGAACACAGGTGGTAGAGACTGGAGGTGAAGCTGGTAGGATATAACTCACTGAAGGCTACTGAAAAGAAAAAGAGTGAAAAAGGGCCAGCCCTTGCTATACTTACCCATCAAATACTCAGGGATCTCTCCAGATTTTGATTCACCTAATAGCTAGAACAATCCAAGTATTCTAGTTTTGTTTCTGTTGAACCATGGCTGACTGAAGTGGTTCAGCAGAACTTCCAGTATGTAATGGCTTGCTCTGGGTTAGAAAGAAAATGTATTTTCCATTTCTTGCATAATCCTAGTACTATGCAAAGCATCCCTCCAAATGATGCATAGCTCCACCAGTATACTGATTTTTAAGTTATGCGACTGCAGTCTACTAGTTTGTGCTACTGAATTATCCGGTATATTAGTGACCTGTTTAGATATCAATCAAAATTATTTCTTATGGAAGAGATTTTGACTGAATCACAGCATCTTATGTTAAAAACTGTTGAAATATTTGGAGAATGTAACCAAAATATAATTTAAGAGAATAGACATTTATTCTATTGGAAATATTAAAATCTTTCCAACAAAAATATAAATATATAGTTAATTTCTCTAGAATAGAAGACTAAATGATATAACATAAATGGACAAAATTACCATAGTTTGCCAAAACGTAGGTCCTCCAATCGCTGCCAGTAAATGCATGATTATTATGAAGACTTGCACTTCAGTCACATCAATTCTGATTAGGTACAAAAAAAGCCAAAAAAGCAGAATTACTCAAAGCAATTTTAAATAATTTTGCAGGCACCACAACTCTTGTTTATCATGCACAAGGTAAGAGAGAAAAAAAAAACAGTGAATGGAACGAGAAAAAAAATTAAAGCAAAATATTTTAATATATATATAACTAATGTACTTCATTGGTTTCACAGTACAGAGCTATTATTTATTTTTATGTAGTTAATTTACAGTATGTTCTCCTTTTTTATTCAGTCAGGGTGGTCTAGACCACAACTCTAAAATGCCATAGAGCACATACTTCATAAATAGAGAACCAGCAATGCTTTACATTTCTACAACACTCAAACTGGTTTTAAAATGTAAATGTGACTTTCTCATTGCATTGAATGGTTACAAGAGAAACTTTCAGAATTTTCCTTCCGACTAATCCTTTGGCTCTATAGGAGGGCAGCTAGGAATATTAGAAGTTTTAATTACTTCAAACAATGACAAGCATTTGTAGAAATTTAAATCTTGCCCACCAGTAAAAAGAATTTAGACAGAAAGCTTTTAAGAAAAATAATGGATTTCAACCAGTGGTGGGATTCAATTTTTTTTTTACTACCGGTTCTGGGTGTGGCTTGGTGGGTGTGGCAGGGGAAGGATATTGCAAAATGTCCAGTCAGAGGTGGTATTTGCCGGTTCTCTGAACTATTCAAAATTTCTGCTACTGGTTCTCCAGAACTGGTTAGAACCTGCTGAATACCATCTCTGATTTCAACTATCTTTCTCCTTTCTTTCTGTGGTGATTTAATTTTTTTATACCGCTGATTCCAATGAATTGACTCATGGTGCTTTAAATAAACAGATCATGCTAAATCAAGACTGACTATGTGAACCCATAAGTACCGTATATACTCGAGTATAAGTTGACCCGAATATAAGCCGAGGCCCCCAATTTTGCCTCAAAAAACTGGGAAAACTTATTGACTCGAGTATAAGCCGAGTTTTTCAGCACATTTTTTGTGCTGAAAAAAACTCTCTCGGCTTATACTCAAGTGAGATTCCCTCTGGAAAAAAAAAATGGTGTGGAGCTCCGGAGCTGGGCAGCCGCTTCCCTGCTTCCGTGTTTCCTTTGCAACTTGTAAGCATGGGGGTAATCGGAAGCAGAAAAGTTCTTGCATGAGGATGTATTGTTTTTTCTTTATTTAACCATTTTTATGGGGGGGGGGGAAATCCCACCATCATGTGAGAATGCTCAGGCACGAAATCTATCCGCCTGAAAATAAGTGTGTGTGTGTGTGTGTGGGGATTTTAACAGAGGGAAGACATAGGGAGAAGGCAAAAGCGACGGAAGATCCTTCAGGGGAAACTGAGGGAGAGACTCACCCTTGGTCCAGATGTACCCCCTTCCCCGCCCCTAAGGATGCGATCTCAGAAAACAACGCGAGCCGCTGCCACCACCTCCTCCCCCTCCTCCTCCTCCCGAGCGGACTGAAAGCAGCTAGGGCTGAGGAAACGAAGCCACCTCGGCTCGCGTTGTTTTCTGAGCCTAGAGCCAGGGCGCTTTCATTGCACGGCGGAGCTTCTTGTTTCAGGAAACACCGGGCGTCGTTGCTGCCCCCCTGAGGGGAGGATGATTCTAGGCTGCGCGATTGGGGGACTTCATGGCTTTGGGTGGGTGGGTGGGAGCGAGGACGGACGGAGTCCGCGAAGCGGGGCTTGCCTGCCCTTGCTGGATGCCTCTGCTTCCTTAGGGGCAGGGAAGGGGGCTCATCTGGACCAAGGGTGAGTCTCCCCCTCAGTTTCCCCTGAAGGATCTTCCGTCGCTTTTGCCTTCTCCCTATGTCTTCCCTCTGTTAAAATCCCCCCCCCACACTTATTTTCAGGCGGATAGATTTCATGTCTGGGCATTCTCACATGACGGTGGGATTTCCCCCCCCCCCAAAAAAAAACAATTAAATAAAGAAAAAACAATACATCCTCATGCAAGAACTTTTCTGCTTCCGATTACTCCCATGCTTACAAGTTGCAAAGGAAACACGGAAGCAGGGAAGCAGTTGCCCAGCTCCGGAGCTCCACACCATTTTTTTTTTCAGGGGGAATCTGACTCGAGTATAAGCCAAGGGGGTTTTTTTCAGCACAAAAAATGTGCTGAAAAACTCGGCTTATACTCGAGTATATACGGTAATCATAATTTGAAACCATAGTTTTAAGTTGGTGTATGAATCATCACATCATATTCTTGGGCTATTCCTAGTTTATTTGTGTGTTCCATTTAAAGCTGTTCCTAAGATGTACAATTTTTTTCAGGCCAAGAACTGGCCTTTGGTTTCTGGAAGCTATCCTTTAAACATAGGTCGACTCAGGATAATAGAACAGGTAAAAGTAGTATAAAGAGTAGATTCAATTTTATTTAATGCACATTAATTAAATACAAGTAGTCCTTGCAACCATAATTGAGCCCAAAATTTCAATTGCAGAGCAAGGCAGTTGTTAAGTGAGTTTTACCCCATTTTACAACAACAGTTGTTAAGCGAATCATTACAGTTGTTAAATGAGTCATCTGGTTGTTGAGTGAATCTGGCTTCTCCCATTGTCTTTGCTTATCAGAAGCCAGCAGGGAAGGGTACAAATGGTGATCATAAGACTCCAGTACAATGCAACTGTCATAAATACATGCATAAACACATAAACTCTTCCCCACATATACAAGCTCTCATTCATATTTTTCATGCCAAGAAATCATATGTGAATTGCAACTATTGCAAATATCTCATTTTAATCTGTTATTAAAAGGATTAACATTTCTAGATGTCAGTATACCAATCATATGACTTTGGAAATTCCTTCTGTGTGAGATTTTTCTTTTCAAAATCAATATTAGTAGAAATTTATTTCTTATTATGCCGCCTATCTCATAAATGCAACATCATATAACAAATCAAAACAATAAAAAAGAACTATACAGTTAAAATTCAGTTAAAATTCAATTAATCAAGATGGAGAGGAAGGAAGCAAAGTGTGCATGGGAAAGAGGTGAGATCTGATTAATCCATTAATGACTGCCTCTTCTGCCAGTGTGGGTGAAGCAGTGGAATAAACTAGTTCTTCAGATAACCTGGACCCATGCCATGAAGATCTTTATAAATGATAACCAACACTTTGAATTGGACCCAGAAGCAAACTGGCAACCAGTGTCTTTCATGGAACAATGGTGTAATATGGGCCACCCTGGGTCCTCAAAAGTGCAGCTGCATTCTGCACCAGCAGAAGATTCTGAATACTCTTCAAGGGTAGACCAATATACAGCCTGTTTCAATAGTCCAAATCAGAGATGACCAGGACTTTAGTGACTGAGTGCATGGATTCCCAATTCAGGAAAGGGCGCAACTGGCATATGTAAGAGTCCTCCTGTTGCTAGAAGGACTAGGTTATTCTGATCAGGGTCACTGGGTGACACTCTGCAGATGCAATAAGAGCTAGAAGTAATGGAGTTTTGCCACTCTTACTGCCATGAGGTAGGCCTTAATAGCAGCTCTTAGTTGTGTACAATCAGATTCATACCTTGTTTTTCTCCAGAGGTGTTCTATTAGTCTTTTAGCCCTTTATGAACCTGAAGCTCTTCTGTGAATCATGTTGGGAGCAAAGGGTCAAGAGAAGCTACCTAGGCACCATTCTGTTCAAAACCTTGGCTGTCCTTTGGTTCCAAGATCTAACCGGAGCTTTGGCAGGACCATGCAGCAAGGTCCCCGGGGATATCCCCCAGTTCAGTCAGAAAGAAATACATTCAAGGAATAAATAATTTGCTTACCTAAAATTATGTTTATATCAGCATGCTCTATTAGAACTGTTAAAAACCATTTTTGTGATGGACATCACAAAAGAACAGAAAAATTAGCACAACTAAAAGTCCAAATGTACCTGTACTACTACAGGTAGTATTTTAGAAAGGAGAACTGGATTGACAGAATTTAAACTTACGAGAAATTTATCTGTTATACATTTTAGAAAGGAAACTGTAGAATCTTTCCTAAACTTGAGATCAAGGAACTGCAAAGGATGAATGAGAATATTTGTATGAACATAAATATGCACATTCCCCATTTAGCGACCAAGTTCTGTTTCAATAAACAAGTCATTAAGCAAAATGGTCACTAAGTGAACTATGCAATTGAAATAGGGAGAGAGTTGCTGTGAAAATTACTGGTTGCTGCTATCTTATTTAGATAAAGCTCTCTTTTATAACTATGTCAGCATTATTCTCACTCCAGTGTGTGTTAGTGTCAGGTGCATAAAATTTGATCACAAATATACACAAGTGGGTTGGAATTTTTTTTAAATAAACCTTATATTTGCAAATGGTCATAAATCAAGGTAGTAGCTAACCAAAGAGTGAGTGTGTATTTCTAAGTAGCTATCCACACAATTCTTTTTCCTGGTAGAAAGTTTTCTAACAAAAGAACAAAATTAACTCTGATGATATGTAATGAGTTGCTCCAACATTCCACCATTTTTTTTCTTGAAGAGATTGCGTCAGTTCTGTATGTTTTACAACAACCAATAATCATCTTGAAACAAATGCCTGAAAAATATCATTAGTAAAACAATTGCCTTCTTTCAGTTTTAGTGTGCATGACAAAAAAGGGCTGCCTCCATAGAATTTGCATTTTTTGCTTCCCAGGCAAAACCAATTTTTATCATTTACCATGTCATTCCAAAATTCAGATCCAAGAATTCCTGTTAGAAGGTGAATTATTATAATACAGATTTCAGACTTGGTAACATTAAATCTAAGAGTGAGGAGGGGAAATATTTCAGTTTGAAAGTTCCATGACTGCAATTTTTTACTCATAAATGAAGAAATGGATTCAAAATCATAGGAAATCTTTAAAAAGGTTATAATTATGAAGATAAGAAAACAATTGTAAGCTATGCAATCCCCACCAGCTGAACTCCACTGCAAAATTTCTAAGTATCATGAATTGCAGTCGGTAATTTAGAAGAGGGAGACTAAGAATATTTTTGAAAGTAATATATAATTCCTTTAACAACCTCACACAAATCCAGTTTAAAATTTTAAGTTTAAAATTTTAAGGCCAACTTTATATTAGCCTCATATAATCCTTTAGACCAGGTGTGTCAAACTCGTGGCATGTGGGCCAGATGCATCACATGCTGGCCACACCCACCCATGGTTTAGCAAAGGGAAAAGAGTTGCAATACATCATGTGATGACAACATGCCATCACAAGTTTAGACAATCTATAGCAGTAATTCCACACTTGGCTTACAAAAACCACCAAGAGAGCAGAAATGATCACCTCTGTGAATGAATGAAAAAAAATGTTTTTTTAATTTAATTTCTCTGTTATGACCATCTCTGTTACACTCACGTAAAATCATATCTGCAGAAAATAATAGGTTATAAAGTACTTTGAAATGGAATATATATTTTAATGGCAACATTTTAGTGTTATCATTTTATTACTTTAAAAAATAGTACATTTTATACTTAAGTAGCCCAATTGTATGTCTAAAAGAAAAGCATATAAAGTCTTAGTCACATCAGATTCTTTAAATATTTGTCTTAGACTTGGTTAAGGCACCAGGCTAGAAACCAGAAACTGTGAGTTCTAGTCCCACTTTAGACATGAAAAACCAGCTGGGTGATTTGGGGCCAGTCACTCTCTTTCAGCCCAACTTATATCACAGAGTTGTTGATGTAGAAAAAATAGGAGGAAGGAGTGTGTTTGCCACCTCGAGTTATTTATTTAAAAAATGTGGGGTATAAATAAGTAAATAAATAAAATATTGTTTAATAAATCACAAGGAAAATCTATGAAGATATTTCATTTAATTTATATTTATTAGTACATTCTTAAATAATGAAGTCATGAAATTTGCATGAAATCTGCATGATCTTGCTATCTCTTAATACAATGAAGAAGCATTTTATATCTTAGAATACATTTAAGGACCTATGTTTAATATCTAGCTCTAGTATTTAATGTTTATTGAAAAACAAATTTCAAACTGAAAATCTGTTGGTCACAGGGAATATGTAAGATTTATTTCCCCCCAGTACTCAAACCTCACATGAAATCAGTTGAAGCTTACTGCTTCAGAAAGTGAATCATACAAAGACCATGCATTTGAATATAGTTGTCTTTTACCTTATTACTTAAAATGCTCTAAACTAAATTTAAAAACTCTTGTATTTTAGGAATTTGTTATCCATGATCTTAATGCTGGTTCACACACTGCCACTGCTTAATAAACTGTGAGTTGTTGACAACTGGATTACTTTATCCAATATAATTAAAATATAAAGCTATTCTTCATAAAGACAACAGTGGCTGGATTCCTACAGACCAAATGTAAACAAAATAAATGTAAATGATAATAAATGATACTATGGTTTTGTGTACCCAATGCTTTTTATCCTTGCAATCAAGAGATGAGAGACAAAGTGTATGAACACTATTTCTAAATTAGTAGTCCTACCTTTGGGATGAAAAAGTTATACAATTAGCAGCATGAACCAATGCAGCCAAGCGGTGATTTTGTAGCTTTCGAAAAAAGTAATTCAGATCTGACTTTCATACATCTACTGTGTTTCTCCAACAATACGACCTCCCCCAATAGGAAGACCCAGCATGTTTTCTAGGCATAAAATAAAATTAAGCCCCTCCCCCCAAATTTAGCCTTATTTTAAAACGTGCAAAATGGGGGAAAGGGCGGGGGGACTTGCCGTTAGGAGTTCCCCGCGGGCAGCAATTCCTCACCACCAGCTGCTCCTAATGGGCGATCATGGCAGAGCGCGGAGAGCTCCCTACTCCTGCCAAGCACCTTTGTGGCAGACCCAAGACCTTTAGCGCCCGCCGCTGCTGATTTCCCTTTTGCCCATACTGCCGCATTTGGAGCTGCCACTTCCACGTTTGGAGCACCACTGCTGTTTGGAGCACCGCTGCCATTTGGAGCTGCCGTTTCTGCATTTGGAGCTGCCGCTTCTGCGTTTGGAACCCCACCGCTGTTTGGAGCACTGCCGCTGTTTGGAGTTGCCATGTCTGCATTTGGAACTGCCGCTTCCGTCATTTGGAGCACCACCGCCATTTGGAGTGCCGCCACCACTCCAAACACAGCAGCAGCTCCAAACGTGGAAGTGGCAGCTCCAAACATGACGGCGGTGCCCCAAATGGCAGTGGCATTCCAAATGGCAGCGGCACTCCAAACACGGAAGCGGCAGCTCCAAACATGGCGGCGGTGCTCCAAATGGCGGCGGTACTCCAAATGGCAGCAGCACTCCAAACACGGAAGCGGCAGCTCTAAACATGGCGGCAGAATGGGCAGAAGGGAAAGCAACAGCGGCGTGTGCCAAAGGTCTTGGGTCTGCAGCAAAGGTGTTTGGTGGGAGTAGGGAGCTCTCTGCACTTCGCCATGATCACCCACTAGAAGCGGCTGGTGGCGAGGCTGCCCACGGGGGGCTCCAGATGAGGATGCAAGGGGGGAATTAAGTCACTGTTTTTTTGTGGCTCAAAAAAAATATAAGACCCGGCCTTATTTTATGAGAAACACGGTATCATGACCTAATTAATTATTCATCATATAGACAGATACTGTTAATTCCATTGTAAATGATATGTGAACCAGACCTTATCATTCAAGGAAGGAAAGTTGTTTTTAAAAATGATTCTTTTAAAATATGCAAAATCAAATGTTACTGCATCTAGTTGACACTGAATTTAAACAACAGATTTAAACAATTAAAATTGTTTATAACAGGTTTCATTTTACAACTGTAAACAGATAGGTAAGATAGCAAAATATTTCTCTCAGCTACAGTACTTACATTCCAAAGCGCATTGTTCCAGAGACATATGTCTGCCAGTGTGCACAGTAAAACATGAATGTCCCAGCAAAACAGCAGAAAAACATCCAGTCAGGATTTGTCCCCAGTTGCACAGCGATACACGTTCCCAAAACCACGAAGACTGAAGATAAAATAAATTAAAACTGAGGAGTAGAAAATGCACATACTCGCTAATGGATCATTATGGCTGTTTAATAACTTCTAATATATAAATTGTCCTCTCACTCATTTATATTTCTGATGGATTCTGGAAAGTATAAAATTCACAACAAACATTTACTTCAAAAGGCATACAGAAGTGTCTCCAATTTTTGTAAATGTTATCAATTACATTTTACACATGCAAGATTAAAAATAAATTTCCACAAATGATTAATATTTTATGCTAGCGTAATGATACTATGTATAAACACAAAAATATACATGACAACAAATTTCAGAACTCCTAATTAACTACATTGGAAATGATACTAGATGCTCAGTCACATGTAAATTCACTGTTTGAAAATAAATTAAAAATTTCATTGTCTTAAAGTACATTTTGAGGAACAGTTTGATATAATGGTTAAGATGCTGACCGAGAAACCAGAGTTTGTAACTTCTAGGCCTCCCTTAAGCATGTAAGCCAGTTAGGTGATTTGGGACCAGTTATTTTCTCTCAGCTTAACCCATCTCACAGGGTTGCTGTGGGAAAAATTAAGAGGTGGGAACATTAGATACGTTTGCCACCTTGAGGTTTATATACCTGTATGAATGTGTGTGTGTGTGTGTGTGTGTGTGTTTACACAAATGTAAATATAAATAATGGATAAAATATAATATTTAATTTAATGAGTTTTTTTCTAAATATACATACAATTATACCATTAGCAATATTTGACTATTTACAGGAAATTTAATTTCAAAATCTTGCCTTTGTTATTCTAGAACCAGCACTATCCAAAACTTTGAAGTATTCAGTCTGAATAGTAATCAAATTTCTAAAGCAGTTTAAACTGCTTGGGATATTGAAAGATGTTATGGAGTTACTATGCTTTCTGTTTATAGAAATACTGTGCAGCTTTTCTTCCATATGATCAAAGCTGTGGGGGAGGAATGGAGACTGAATGGACCTTCTGATTGCAATATAGCAAAAATTTATTGTAGTGAAATCCTTGAAACTATCTGCCAGGAGTTAATATTTTCTAAATGGTCTCCCATCACTGTTATTTTGTTCCATTCAGTCATAAAAATAAGCTAGCTGCAAGAGTTTGGATCTTTCCCAATACAGTGCATGATTCTTTTTAAAAATCAGTTGGGTTCAAATCAAACCTAGTTTCAAATATCTTGTTTGAATTTAATTTTATTTCCTTTGAATCTCAATATTGAATGAGAACTTTCTTGATCTGCATTCCTCACTTGATAATTCTATAACTATGGTGGGGAATATCGAAAGTCTGACTATGATAAAAGAAAAATGTTTCTTTATTTGGTTTTCATAATTTAGCAACATGATTTCAAATAGAAAACAGAACAAGAATTAGATCACACAATTGTTATACGTCTCTTTGAAACATTAATACACTGTTCTCTATAATAATCTACTAGAAAGTTTTTACCCTTATTTTTCTATTATTATAGAAAATATCGTAGAATTTTGAACATATTATGAGCAATCTAATTAGGAAAGGCACAGCCCAGCCATTGGCACCAAGCATTCTAAAAACTGCTGATGTGCAGTTGTTTTCAAGTATCATGCACCCCCCCTTGGAGTCTTTTATAAATAAATATATTCATAATAATTGTTGTGACCTTTCAGCAGTTTTGCTGGTTATGTTATTAACAGTTAATATCTACTAAAAGCACAATCCAAAAACACGTACCAGTCCATTTTGATCATAGAAAGGCAGGAGAAATTAATAAATGTACAGTACCACAAAAAATAGTAACAATGAAATTTGTTATTATTTATTCATAGACAAACAAGTTTATGCTGCAATAGCTACAACAGCATTTTTACTTAGATATACTTATAAAGGCCTCCTCCTATTTCTTTCTGTCATAGTACATAGTATCATATAGTACAGTACAGCAAAGCATCCAATTAAGTTGGGCAGAACCATTAAAGCAATATTCCAACAGAATATTATTTTAGAATACTCTTTATTTTTTGTAAATGTATTACCAAGGTGTTGACCTGTGGCATGAGATTTTGGTATAAGCAGTTTTTGTAATAATTTTACTTTATTTGGTTTTGCATGTGTGAGATTTTGAGTCAATCTTGACTGATTGCGATTGCTTGTACAAATCCAATTTTCTTGGCAACATTTCAGAAATCACTTGCCATTGCTTTGATCCTAGGGCTGAGAGTGAATACCTGTCCCCAAATCATCCAGCTGGCCTTACATGTACAGCAGGACTAGAATGGGCATTGGTAGAAGTTACCCTGAACACCCTTTCTATCTATGCTGCGAGAGAGCCCAGGATGGGTTGACTCCTTCCTATGACGTCATTTAGCCGAGTCTGTACTAAGATATAAAAGCCAGCCCCCAGAAGAGAACCCAGCTTTGGCGAAGATACTTGACAGACTGAAAGGTGTCTCTGAAAGCACAAATGAATACAGAAATATGACTTACCCTCTCTGGACGAATCAAGGGAGGGGCTGGGCTCTCTCGCAGCATAGATAGAAAGGGCGTTCACGGTAACGTCTACCAATGCCCATTCTCCTCCATGCTGCATCGAGAGTCCAGGATGGGACATATCAAAGCTTGCATGTCCATGGGTGGGTCCTCGTCCGGCTCATCACACCGACTGTTGAACCACTCGTTGAAGCACCCGTCTGCCGAAGGCTGCAGTTGCCGAGGCAAAGACATCCAGACAGTAGTATCTGATGAAAGGAGATGGAGATGTCCACGTGGCCGCACGACAGATCTCCTCCAAGGGTGCTTGGGTCGCCCAGGCAGCCGAAGTGGCCGAGTTTCTGGTAGTGTGCGCTGTCAGACCTCGAGGAACTGGAAGGGCCACAGCTTAGTAGGCCTGCTCAATGCAAGATCTGACCCACCTGCTAATAGTAGGAGAAGAGACCTTGTGCCCCAAGTGAGAAGGGAAAAGGAAACAAAATGGCTTCAGACTTCCTGAAGGAGGAAGTGCGCTTAATGTATATTCTAAGAGCCCTACCTACGTCTAGCGAATGCGGGACGGGGCAGAAGCCAGGCAACATAATGTCCTGGACCTGTGAAACAGGTATTAACCCTTGGAATAAATGAGAGGTCCAGACTGAGGACAACCCTATCATCGTAAAAGGAACAAAGGTCCTGTCGGATGGAAAGAGCAGCGAGCTCAGATACCCGCCTGGTTGAAGTGATGGAAACGGGAAACACTATCTTAAGAGTTAGGAAATGGAGAGACAATGTTCAAAAGGGGGCTTTGTAAGGGCATAAAGGACCACATGAAGATCCCAGGAAAGATACCTGTGAACCACCGGAGGGTGCAGGTTGGAAGCCCCTTTCGAAAACCTCCTGACTGAAGGGTGATGGGATAAGGAAGGAAGCGAACCCCATGAAAGAACTGAGGAGAGGGCCTCCACCTGCCTGCGTAAGGTGTTGGGGGCCAAACCTTTCTCCAGATCATGCTGAAGGAATCTAAGAACCTCTGCCAACTGGGCTAAAGCGGGAGAGAGAGAGACCCTCCCTAAGGCACCATCAGAAAGGGCCTTCCAGGAATAGACCATTCTGCCTGGTCGACTGGCTCCTGGTGAGCCAGTCGGCCTGGGAGTTGTTGATCCCGGAGAAGTGGTCCGCTGAGATCGACAACAGGTATTACTCTGCCCATAACCGCAACCATAGAACCTCTCCCATGAGGGCTCTGGACCTCGTCTCCCCCCACCGGTTGACATGAGTCATGGCGGCCATGTTGTCCATAAGGACTAGAACATGAAAGCTGGTCATGAGTGCCTGAAATGCTTGAGAGCTAGAAAAATGGCTCTGAGCTCTAGCCAATTTATGGGAAGGGCCTGCTCTGACCTGGACCAAGGTCCTGAGCTATCTGGCCCTGCATATGGGAACCCCAACCCAGGAGGCTGGCATTGATGGTTATCACTAGCCTGTCTGGGACCCTGAAAAGGAGTCCCTTCCAGATTAACAGGGAACACCACCAATTGACAGATCTCCGGATTTGTGGTGGGAGCAGGACCTTGATGGATGAGTGGCTGGTTCCTGCTCATTGGTAGGGAAGCAGGAACCATTAGAGTGGACAGGAGTGGAAAAATCCGTGGCTCTGGAGATATGACAGGGTAATTTGCAGATCCCGATGGGCTGCATGGATGAAGGGGGACAGAATCAAAATGTTGTCCAAGTAGCATTGGATCCTCACTGGAACAGAAAGCAGAGATGCCATCAATGCTGCCAGAACCTTCGTGAAGACCCTTGAAGCCGATGAGAGGGCGAAGGGAAGTGCTCAATACTGGTAATGGGTATTCTGATAACAGAAACGGAAAAACTGGTGATGATGAGGCCCAATGGGGATGTGGAGGTAAGCCTCCATGAGATCAGTGGGAGAGGAGATCGCCCTCCCGAACGCTCTCTAAAATAGAATGCAGAGTCTGCATTTTAAATAGCCTGTATTTTACAAATTGGTTGAGAAATTTTAGATTCAGGATGGTTCGCTACCCCCCGAGGCTTTGGGAACGATGAAAGGCGAGAATAAAGCCCACGTCCCCATTGAGAGCAGGGAACAGGTTTGAATAGCTTGGATTTCAAGAAGGAGTTGAATGGCCTGATTCATGTCTTGCCTTGAAATGCCCCGAGAGACAGGACAGATCAAAAAAATTTTGGGGGGGGGGGCGTGCATTAAGAAGTCCAGTTGTAATCCTGAGCTAATAGTGCTGAGCATGCAGGCATCCACTGTTGACTCCTCCCATTTGGAGGCAAAGAAGGCTAGGCGACCTCGGATGGGTGGGGAGAATGAGGGATTACTTAGAGCGACGGCAGGAACAACACCCACCCTCCCGAAAGGGCTGTTTACCAGTATAAGGAGCTGGGCGATAGTCGGCTCTCTTCCCAGAGGAAGAGAGAATTTTACGTTTATCTCTGGTTTCGATGAGATAAGGTTCCAGAGCATTGCCAAAAAACTTATCACCCGCGAATGGAACTGAAACCAGCTTCCATTTACGGCGTGACTCCGCCTGCCAATTTCTGAGCCATAACAGTCTTTTTGCTGCTACTGAAGATGCCATGGCCCGAGATCCAAATTTGGCAGAATTGAGAGTGGCATCTCCAGTGAATTCTGCCACTGCGATAATCTTATTAAGGTCTTGGTGAGACCGAAGGTCAGATGTAGGCAATCTAATCTGGAGTTGGTGCAGCCACCGTATGGATGCCCACGTGAGAGTACCAGAAAATAGGAATGAGGCCAGAACCGGAATGTCAACAGAAGGCACTGCCAGGGAATTGTCCAGGGCTGCGCTGACGTTGTAGAAACGCTTATCCAGGGAAGATGGGCGAGGACCTGCCGAAGGGGAAGAGCACTGTTCCTTGAGCACTGTTCCAGGAACAAAGTAGGAGAAAGCAAAACCCCTGCTTGCACTACAGGCTTGGAGAAGAATGAGTCTCCCTGGCTAGAGGGAATTCCTTGTGGCTCGGGAGCCACTTCCTCTGGCGACAGCTTGGCAGTGACCAAGGCCATGCTGACTAATGGCCTGAAGAGAGAAGGATTGAAGACCAATGCAAAGGATGTCTGCTCTGGGCGAGAGTCCTCTTCCTCTGAAGATTTTGGTCAAAGGTCTTGCCCTCTTCACGTTCTGAACGAGAGGCGTAACTGTGTTCAGATGGTGAAGCCCTTCCCTCCTCATCAACCTCCTCCCATTCTGGTAGAGAAGAATGGATCCTGAGGTCCTGGGGCCTGTGTAAATCAGGGTGATGAGGCAACTTATGGATTGAGAAGGGAGAAGGGCCTGAACCCTTTCCGGAGGTCGAAGGATTTGCTTGAAGCCTTCAGCTAATCCCTGCCTAATGGCCAAAGAGACAACATCTTGGATATCCCCTGGTCTATGCTCAAAGGTAGGGGCAGAAGGCCGAAGGCTCGCTGCTGAGGGAGTGAAGGTGGCTTCAGGCCTAGATTGAGAAGAGGTTCGAGGCCTGGAGGGAGGGGGAGGAGCATAGGGCCCAGAAGCCTGTTGGAAATAAGGCCCAGATCTGCTTAGATCCTGAGGATCATTGTACTGCAAAAGCCTCAGGAGACCAGGATGGAGGATGGAAAGGCTCATAGATTACTTCTCCTCCCCTGGGAGGGCTTGGCTGGTGCCCACAGGTATCACCTGAAGGATGCTGTAGTTGCACTTCCTTCTGTTGAATAGTTCTGTTGAACTGCCTCTCTAGGGCTGCATGTCTGTGCTTTTCTGCTCTCAACTCAGCCTGAGTTGCCTTCTTAGGGGCTAGAGCCTTAGTTCTGATTTTAGCAGCCACCTCCCTCTAGACTGATTGGGTGTGTTGCTCTTTCTCTTATTTAAGAGACTGTTCCACTGGGGGGGACGGGACTCTGCCTGACCCTTATCTTGCTCCATTTGAAGAATAAAGGCTCTTACGGTGGAAAGAAACTGTTCGTAAACTTTTTGTATTAAGCCCCTTTGGGTATAAATTGGCCCACAGGCTTACAAAATGGCCGCTCACCTCGTGGTGGAAGGCTTCAATCCAAGATGGCTGCTGACTATGGGAAACAGGCTCCGAGATCGAATAATTTCTCCTTAGGCTATAAAGAGCCCCGAGTGAAGTCAGCAAAGGAAAGGGCAGCCTCTGGCCACACAATCAGCTGGCTGACGCTGGTATCAGTTTGTCGATTGCTTTTTACGACCACTCAAACCACAGGCGTGGGGGAGGTCTACTGACGCTGCCCAACTTGCCTGAACAGCACTCTGGCAACGCTGCTCCCAACGCTGCAGGAGAGAGAGCCCTGCTCTCCTGGAAGAGCAGCTGCCCAGATCCTGGGGGCTGCTTGAAATGAGGAAAAATGGCACTGAAGATCGCTGCAGAAGCTTTCAGAGACACAGCTACTGACTGAAAGGAGCTGAGTCAAAAGCTGGGGTCTCTTCCAGGGGCTGGCTTTTATATCTTAGTACAGACTCAGCTAAATGACGTCATAGGAAGGAGTCAACCCATCCTGGGCTCTCGATGCAGCATGGAGGAGAAGTCGCAGTGTCATGCCTTTAATCACTATACCAAATCAGCTCTCATGACTTTATTTAGTAGGGAAAGCTTGATAGTAGACTAATACAGTAAGAAAAGCTAAATATTCTTTAGCAGGAATTTAATTCCTGGTTTATCAACAGTGCATTATGTTTCAATTTTCATGTCAGTCTGAATGTCTAACAACAATGACAAAATGGTCCAAACAGAAAAGAAAAATTGTACTTGAGACACTTCATGGTTTGGCACATGAATCACAATACAGGTACACTATGAAGACTGCTTTGGGTGAAATGCAATGAACAGTTCTATTCTTGAGTGACAGGGCACAGTTTGGAGATGCATCTCAGCTCTGAGAGCAAACAGATGAACTGATCAAAAGTAGACATAAATAGAACAAAGGTGAGTCTGTCACAAAGTCTGCATCGACACATATCCATGTGTGTGTGCAGGCACACTTGAACACACACACACATGCACACGCACACGCGCGCATATCCAAATAAATTCAGTAACAAGCTTCCCTCCTCCAAAATCCATATGATTATTTTAACTTTTACCTTCGTTCACCAGAAAACTTCTTGGGTTATGCCATAAGGCTCCAGGGCTGCAATTTAGGAGGGCATCAGAATGTGTTCCATATGTGTCCATGATTTACACAGAACATTGATAAAAGAGAAGAGAGCCACTGGAAGTACATGGTCTGCAAGTATTTTAATTTTGGTTCAGGTGTTTCTTCTCTTTATAGAATTTTGGAAATGGTTTAAAATTTTAAGGAAATTTAAATATTCAAACATTTCAAGTATTTCAGTTTTAAACTAAGATTTAAATTACTTAGTATGAAATAAAAAAGTGATTCCCTTGCATTGAGCCTGACTTCTGATGGGTACATCGTCTGTCACTGCCTTATTCCAGGATAATTTTGTGATTCTCCAGCCTCACCTGTAGCTCTAGCATCCCATGGAGTTCTCTATGGAAGTACTAACCAGGCCAAACTGTGCTTAGCTTCCCAAACAAAGTAAACCAGAGGCTGTTAATATGAAACTAATAAAATGTAGAACCTTTATAAAATGTATTACCAAAGTTCTGACCTGTGGCATGGGAATTGTACAACCAAGGTAAATTATTCTCATTTTATTAGAGCACAAAAGATTTTAGAAACTTTCTAGTCCTCATAAATTACGTAATAGACCATTATCTAGTGCAGTACCTGTGGACAATGAATCACAGCCATGGTCAAATAGTTCTCCCAGAGGACTACTACTATTGGTTCTTCTTGCCTGTTTCCCATCTATTGCATCCAAAGACTGATAGATGAAAAGGCCACAAGCACATGCAATATATGCCCAAGGAGGTGCCTAAAAGAGAATGTATGTAAAAAAGCAGCAACATGTAAATAAATGCATAGGTCTTAAGTCAGGCATGATTTTCATATAGTGACAATCTATTCTATTGCATGATTAGTTATGAAAAAGTGCAAATAACATTCCCTGTTTTATTCATATCCAGTTCCAAAGTTTCTTACATACACAAAAAATATTACATCAAAGCATATTAAGATTAAACCGAAACATCTGCAAATTTTGTAACTTAAAGTATAATTGCACATGTTTGGTGCACAATATTAATTTGTTTTGTTTCAGCATATTTATTTAATCTGCATGGCTACCATTTTTACAAGTAACTCTAGCCAATGAATAAATTAAAAATGAATTCCATCATAATACAGAAAATAAAAAGCAATTAATGAGAACGTTAAAATCCATGGTAGTTAACACAATCAGGAGATAGGACCCTTCAGTACTTGGGACCATGCACACAAGCACATGTCGAGGTCTTTAGAGCCTTATAGGTCAGCAGGGTTTGGGCTAATCTCCAGAGAAAGGATTTGCCATATAGTGGGCATTAGGACAGAAAAAGCATATCTCCTGCACCCCACCAACGAGCCTTCCCTGGCTAACAATCTTGTCCAGCAGGATATATCTATCCTGCTGGACAAGATCGGATGGTAGAAAGAACTAGGGAAAAAAGTGATCCCTGAGGTAAACTGGTCCCAAGCCATGGAGATCTTTAAAGATAGCAACCAGCACCAAGAATTACACCACAAGACACCAGCAACCAATGCAGCTCATTGAGTTCTGGTTTTACATATACTAAGTAACTGACACTATTTACTAACTGTCACCATTTACATTGAAATCAACCACTGTAATTTGTAAACTAGCCAACAGCATATTATATCAATCAATCAATCAGAATAGAGTTGGAAGAGACCTTGGAGATCTTTTAGTCCACACCCCTACAGAAGCAGGAGACGTTATACCAGGGAAGTTAAACTGAATTTCATTGAGGGCCACATCAGGTTGTGTTTGACCTTGGGGAGCCTGTGTGGGTATGGTCAAGGTGGGCGTGGCTAGCTTGAGGTCATTCATGTCGTGGGCACCTGTGATGGCCTGAGTGTTCTGCAAGTGAAATGGGCTCCCAAGCTCCGTTTTCAGCTGCGACAGCTTCCTGCAACCCTCTGCCAGTGAAAATAGAGCTCTGTTTTCACAGGCAGAGGCTCTGTGGGCCGGTCCTTCACTGTTTCCAGGGCTGCCCGGTGGGTGGATCTAAGCACTGGATCCAGTCCCCGGGCCTTGAATTTGACATCCCTGCCTTATACCATTCAAGATAAGTGACTGTCCAGTCTTTTTTAAAAAACCTCCAGTGATGAAGCACCCACAACTTCTGGCAACAAGCTGTTCCATTGGTTATTTGAACATACAGGCAGTTTCTCCTTAATTCCAGGTTGCTTTTCTCCATCCATTGTTAGTTTCCATCCATTGTTTCTTCATCTTGCCTTCTGGTGCTTTAGAAAACAAGTTCCCCCCCTCTTCTTTGTAGCAGCCCCTCCAATACTGGAATACTGCTATCGTGTCATCCAACCACTATGGTTTGTTCAAAAGTTAAAACTCAGTGCTTACATGAGCCAGATGGTGTTTAAGAATACTCAGCAATGACAGCCAATACATTTATTTCTATTTCTGAATAATAAATAGAACACATCCATGGGAATCAGAAACAGCTTTTACAATTGGAAGGCAGCCTTGATTATTTTTCCTGATTTCCATCTCATTCTCTAATCTGGATGATAAAAGGTCACTTCTTGACAGCATAGGATCCCTTTAATTTTTAAAATGTTGAAAAGGTATTCTTATTTTAAATATAAATTATGTTAGCCAAACTATTTGTTAGGGCAGGAACTACTGTCCCAAAGGTGCTTTTTCAAGAGGCAACTGGACTTTCTTGTTTTTCTTTGAAGATATTTTTCTTCAGAAAAGCAAAAGCAAAGCACACACACAAACACACACACACACACACACACACACACACACACACACACACTTTACACAGAGTAAAGTCCAGTTGCCTCTTGAAAAAACACCTCTGGGACAGCCATCACTTGGATGAGTGAGAAATTCCATAGGCAGAAAATACTGTACATACAGGTAGTCCTTGACTTATCATCACAATTGAGCACAAAATTTCTCCTGTTAAGTGAGTTTTGCCCCATTTTATGACTTTACTTGCCACGGTTGTTAAAATGAATCACCGCAGTTGATAAGTTAGTAACCTAGTTGTTAAGTGAATCCGGCTTCCCCATTGATTTTGCTAGTCAGAAGCTCACAAAAGGTGACCCTGAGACACAGCAAAGGTTATAAATATTAACCAGTTGCCAAGCATCTGAATTTGGATCACATGATCATGGGGATGCTGCAAATGTCATGACTATGAAAACCGGTCATAAGTCACATTTTTCAGTGCTGTTGTAACTTTGAATGGTCACTAAACAAACTGTTGCAAGTCGAAGACTATCTGTATAGGCTACAGTTCTAACACTCAGAATAACTTCACTTTCAGTGGAATATTTTGTGAAAGCATGCATTATGTTTGCATTATAATTGCCCTAGTGTTAGTTCACAATAAAAGATTTAAAGACGATAACTTTTAAACTGTTCATAAGACTGTCTTCCAATTAGTCGACTATATAAAGGATTATTATTATATACTGTATTTATTTATAACAATTTTTTTCTGTATTTGTTTAATTTGTTCTCCTATCTGATAGCTTTTCTGATGCTATATCATTACCAACAACAAACAACTAAACCAGAAATGGTGGCAAGGGGGGGATGGGATTCCTCTCTGTTGTATTTCAGTTATTTCAGATATAAAATACTAAATGTGCCCAGCATATAAATTGTGCATCTGTGCCCAAATTAAAGAATCAATAATAAAAATCTGGAGATTTTCAGAGTTGAATTTGATCAAATTTGTATTTAAATACATTTGTGTAGTATTTCCAAGATAAAATCAAATTTCAAAGGCTCTGTGGTTAAACATAATTAGTCTCAATGTTGAACTGCTCCATGATTAAGCCTTTCCTTTTTCAAAAAAGAATGTCTTTGTCACTTTTTTCTGCCTTTTAGTGAGTTCTACAATCACAAAGATAAATGTGTTTATGAGATATATCTATGCATGTTCATATAATATAGTTCTTAATTCATAAAAGCTTCCAGAATCTGTTAATGTGAATTTAGCTGCCACTGGCAAAAATCTTTTGGACCTGAGATTGTCCAAATTTCAGAGATTACTCTACATAAATGACTTCTGTGATCATATTAAGAGCAACTGCGTTCTCTTCGCTAATGATGTAAAGCTATTCAACGTCACAGACAATACTGCTACTCTTCAAAAAGACCTTGACTATGTATCAGAATAGTCAAACAAATGGCAACTTCAAATCTCAACAAATAAATGCTCTGTCCTACATATTGGAAAAAAAAGATCAGAAAATAAAGTACAGGCTGAATAGTCAAGACCTTGTTGATGATGCAAACTCTGTCAAGGATCTTGGAGTACTCATCTCAAATGACCTAAGTGCTAGAACCCACTGTAACTACATAGCCAAAAAGGTGTTAAGAGTTGTTAACCTAATCTTACGTAACTTTTTCTCTGGTAATATTACACTAATAACTAGAGCATACAAAACATTTGCTAGACTAATACACGAATACAGCTCATCAGTCTGGAACCCACATTACATATCTGATATTAACACAGTTGAGAAACTCCAGAAATATTTCACAAGAAGAGTTCTCCACTCCTCTACTTGTTGCAGAATACCTTATGCCACCAGACTCGAAACTCTAGTCCTAGAAAACCTAGAACTATGCTGCCTTCGGTCCAATCTAAGTATAGTATGTAAAATCATACATTGCAATGTCCTACCTGTCAATGAATACTTCAGCTTCAACCATAACAACACTAGAGCAAACAATAGGTACAAACTCAAGGTTAATCGCACCAAACTTGATTGCAGGAAATACAACTTCAGCAACAGAGTGGTCCATGTCCAGAATACTCTACCTGACTCTGTGGTTTCTTCCACAAACCCCAAAAACTTTAACCTTAGACTGTCTACTATTGACCTCACCCCTTTCCTAAGAGGTCTGTAGGGGGGCGTGCATAAAGCACACCAACGTGCCTACCGTCCCTGTCCTATTGTTTCTTTTATTTTTTAAAATTTTTCTTATATGTATCCATGTATTCATAACTATGTTTCTACTTATACCAATCACCTTGTAAGCAATTGACAAAATAAATAAATAAAATAAATTGTATTGCTAATAGTGGAAGAAGGAACAAGAGTTAAAAAGAATATAATGCTTCTCAGTTTAAAGGAAAAGATTAAAATATATTTTATAGCCCCTTAGAAAGACAAAATTCATTCAGTTTTGTATAACAGTGAAACTTCGCTTTAAAGTATCATTTCCAATTATAGTCTACTACCTTTAATTTTTTCATCCATTTCATTTAAACTTTATTAAAAATACACATAGATCTTCTTGCCCTCTTAAGTTTATACAGTTATGTGAGGGCATTTAGGTATACTAACTAAAGAGTAGATGCTGTATGTGTGTGTGTGATGGTAAAATGTAAAGGAGATTTTAATCAACATAGCTCTTCCAAACCAGTATTAAAATTAAATCAATATTCAAAAATCACTAAAATAACAAATATAAGAACTATTATAAAAAAGGAGTTAATAAGGTTTTTTTCCCCTAATCTGAGAAAGTGTATCTTAAATCAGAGGAGATCTAAATTTTTAAAAACTTATCTTAACAGAAAGCAGATGATGAACGTGGTACAAATCCATGTGGGGAATCATAATCCATAAACAGTTTCCAAATTGAATTAAATTCTGTATTGGCCTTGTTTCTGACATTGATGCATGTTTGCACAAGTTGATTTGCCCTTCATCTAAAGAAGGAATTATGTTGCCTAAGATATGCAGGCACCTATTATCATAATCAAAG